TACAAGAACTGATCTTGACCTCCCTCTATGAGCCCCGTAAATATTATACCTGGCCAACGCATCTCACTCAGCTGGCGTTCTCTGCTCAGTGGTGTCAATTTTTCCGTCAAATTTGGTGTTACTTGGGGCCTGTCATGTCCTGTTACCAGTCTGTCCCATTTTATGCCATTTGCCTGTCCCATTTGTGGGAGCTGCGGGGAGAGTGAGCACAGTTAAGGTCTCTTCCCCCAAAGTTTTGATGAAAAACACTCCTGTTTTAGTGCCTCTTTGAGCCCACAGTGTAATCATTCTGCACCTGTGCATGTTGTTGTTGTGTAGGGGGGGTGTGATTGTTAGTTGGTGATCATCAGACTTGCTGTTAAATTTGTCCAGGCCAACTTGGAGATTGTTGAATTTGGCTGTGCAGAAAGATAAGATTCTTTTCTCCAATGCTAGATAAAGCTTAGCTTCTCCAAATACACATATTTCTTAGTGAAATTGGACTAGTTTGAAACTGTTGACATTTGCTAATTGGCTGTGGAAATGCATGGTCCGGTACCGTACATGTACGTATACTTGTAATTGGCATCAGATGGTATTTGCATTGCATACATGTACATGTATGTGACCCGGTACATCGTAATCAGGAATAAGTCGCTGAGGCCATTTTACGTAAGGCAGCGTAAAGTGGGGATGTGGGTAAATGTTGCAAACAATCAATGTGGTTTATTTTGGAAGTGTATGAAGGTTACCAACAACACACTTGCAATACATGTATGTACCGTTTGAAAACTTTCTATGTACATGTACATATTTCAAAAAGTCAATTTGAGACTTACTCCTGTAGGCTACCAGCTAACATGCTGTCAATTTCAATTAATGCTTTGGGCCGGTTGTCAGCTTTTCTTAACATTTGCCGAGAGCACGAAGGGTGCATGTACATTAAGCTTTTTTCTTTATTTTTTCATCAAACCCACCCGACATGTCTGTGTCATTTTTTTCATTTCTCCAATGCTGGTACATTTTAGCTCCACCATTTATAAACATGTAGTAGTTCCCCTGAAATTAACATAATTTTGTTAGTTCTCATGTGGAAAGCATGTAGTTTCAAGGGTACTTTATTCTACACTGGGGCACGATGGTTGTTTATACATGTGCCTGTGTAAATGTATAGATTTCAAAATTTGCTGGATAAACGCTCATGACTTCTGTTTTTCCCATTTCAGATGGCAACACTTAAATGCTTGCATTTTATTCCCATATGGCTCCAAGCTATTTTCTGCCATTGAAAGTTGATCATTTTACAAGCTGTCGCTTTGTGTGAGGTGATGAAACCGAGACCAAAATACTGTGAATGGGAGATGCTCGCACCCAGCAGAAGGTCCCCGGATATCAGATTGTGGGATTGGACTCTTGCTGAAAAGGCTTATGCCTATAAATGGTCATCTCTGCGGTGACACATACAGATAACTAGACTGGGCAGAGACAAAGACTGCTTGCAGGGGCAGGCTGGAATAGTGACAAATTATCGTTTGTTTTAACAAGCACTAAGACCTGTCAGTTATGTAAAGGAGGCTAGATGCATCTTTAGGAGCAGAGAGATCAATCCATCAACACGGTTTCCTGTGCTTAACCAATATTTTGTTTCCCTCTGCGTGGTACTGGTATGCAGCAGAGCTGGAGAAACTTACAGAAAACCCCCTGAAATAGAGATTCCTCTCGGTAATCAGCTAAAACCCAGCTCTCGGGCGCATGCAGTTTAATAAGTTTTAAATTGGCCATGAGGAATTTTGCACCTTATTTATTTGGGGGGCAGATAGTGCAGTTAACTAGTCATCGTGGATGGCATTCCTAATGTGAAAGGTTTCACAACTCCAGTTGCCGGTAGGGGGCATGGGAAGATCAGAAGTGGGGGCGAAAGGTCATCCAGTCAAGAATGCGGTACTTTGTGGGATGGATGATCGCTGTTGAGCTCATTAGAAAAAAGGTTGGCTGGGCTCTTGTTAGCCTTGCTTGGGAGGGATCAGTCAGTGCTTAGGGGGATCCGGAGTGCTTGGACAGGGAATGGCTCCGTGGTCAGAGGAAAAAGGAAGAATCTGACAAACCTCAACTTTTGTGGTCAGAGCAATCGGAGCAAAGACTCTTGAGGCTACTCTGGATGGGTGAGGTGCATGCAGCATAGCAGGTAGAGTTGTCTCTGGGGTTCTGTCTGGGGTTGTCAGGGCACAGTATCAAGACATTTGTTGCAGAATTGGCAGTGGATTAGGGCCAGACAGATTTGATCTTGCAGGAAAAGAAGGAAAGGAGAACTCTCTATAAAATGTACATATATTTTGTGAGTTTCAGTCTGTTTATGCAGCTTTGAATAAAATCCCAATTCGTTGTTTTTTTTGCCTGGACATGCTTCATGAATTTGTGAAAATCCAGTATCACGCAGTCAACAGATGGTGTATTAGTTGCACGGCAACAAAAAGTTAAAGACATTGAGAAATTATAGACAGTGTCACAAAAATTAATAGCAGATGGGCTGTGCGTATCTGAGACCCTCAGATACTGCTGAGTAAGTCAGCAGATTCGGGAGACATGTTTGCATTGTGATGGAAGTTTAAGTTTATATATTTGTGTGCCATCTTTTCTTGTGTGCTTCTTTTTGAGTGGTCTTTTTTATTGAATGCCGTTTACAAATGCTCACAAATATTTTTAAATGCCTTCATCTACAGGAACTTGTTCACTTTCAGTGTTTCTTTGAAGTGCATATAAAATGTAAGAGTATGCAACAAAACAAGGTTTTTTATTCTTTCTTTCTTTCTTTGTGCATTGTAGCACACTTGTTAATTGGATGGAATTTCTTCCGGTTAATCACTTTTGTTGGAAGAACTCTGGCAAAGAAAATCTTTCAATTATCCAAAATGTCACAGCGGCTGATTTGAATAGTGTATTGCGTTTTGTTTGGTCAATGTATTACTTAGACTTTGTAATTTTAGAGTGCAATTCAGTTTGTAAGCAGCTGGCGGAGATGAGCAAAAAGAGGCATTGGGGAAAAGGGTTTTGTAGTGTACTGTTGCTATTGATTGTCAGAGCCGTCTTCGTTTTTGTTTACTTGTGATGTTGATTTGGTGCTGATTTTACATATACATTGCCACACCACAATCCTTTTCTGGTCTGAATCATCAACAGATTGGAAGACACATCTTAGAATTCCACTTGTTAGCTTGCACCGTCTTTTGAAAGAGAACATTTTGTGTCAGATTGAGCGAGAAAGCACCGTCTGGGATCTGAACCTGCTACTAGTACCTTCAGAACTTGCGTAGTGCTCAGCTCACCCATATGAGCATTTCTGCCACTGTAAAGGGGCAACACTGGCAGGGGTACTGTGATCAACTTTATTATCCCATCAAGGGGATCAACACCTATTCAAGAAGGTCAACCACACATTGTGCCTGCAGTAAATGTAAATCTGAAAGCTCATAAACATGACTCATGACAGGTGCTAAACAGCAAGGAACTGCCCTACCACAATGGCAACACTCACATGGTAGAAGTTAATACTGTAATAAAGATACAGCCGATCATCATTCCAGCTGTTTATTTCACCACCTAATACATGTACACTGCTTAAAAATTAAACAAAACAGTGACCTCATGAATAATGAGCTGTGACATTTTTGCTTGGCACTTGGGATGAGATATATTGTACCTAATTGCTGGTTTATACCTAGAGCTGTATGTACAATTTCACCACTTTTTGGAAGCAGGTAATGTTTGGTCAGTTCCCTGTTTCTCTTTAATAGGGTGTACATGTACATGTATATACTATTTCTGCCTGAGTAAGTGTTTTTTCGGCCATCCCGCCTGGCTCTGATGTCCACCTGTTGCTTGGTGTAAACAAAGCATTTGTAATTTGAGAGTTGTGCCATCCTTAGTTGATTTGAGCTTAGCAGGAATTAAAGTTTAGTTAGCAACAGTTGGGCACAAGAAAGAATGTGTCACTGTATGTACTGCAGCTTTTTATGGTGGGACAGAGCACAGGAGCATTCAAGTTCATAGTAGTTGATGCCAGCTTGATGCCAAGAACTTCGTTTGCTGTTGAGATCTGCAAAATTGCTTTTTAGCAGCATGAAGCAAACTGTTGAAAAGTTAACTGGAGCCAAAGGTGTGTGGTACAAATGTATATGTACTTCACTCCTGAGGTGCCAGGCATGTTTGTCTTGTAAAAAGTACTTCATGCAGTGTGAGTTTACCTAGTCACAGTATTGATATAATGACATCATTCGCTAATTACTTTTCAGCTTAACAATGACTAACACCACCTCATTTGTTACATTAGCAGATTTGCAGTTGGTTTGTTTTTGTTTGGAAAGTAAGCCAGCACGTTACAATTTACTCCATTAACTCAGATGCTAGCAAAGGAATTGTGCAATCTTAAGTTCTGGAAAACAACTTGCAAATCCATTCTTGAACTGCTAATGGAGTGAGAAGGATCAGACAGTCTCATGCAGAGCTCCAAGGTATAGTTCAAGATAGGTTTATTGTATACATCGTACCAAATGAGAATAAGGTCACGTTGACTTACATTTACAATCTACATTCAGAATCCTTCTCGTATGTACTTTAATGGCAACTGTGTTACAATCTGCTGTCTTCAGGTTATTAATAGTTGTCAGGTAGAGACCGCACTGGATGAAATTTTGCTCTTGCATATGAGCAGTGGTGTCCACCAGTTTGCAGAATTTTTTTTTTTTTTATTTCCACTTGGTTGGCTCGGGTTTGAGTCTCCTGTCACCATTACTTCACATCTCTTTTTTTCCCCAGGTTTGGCTGAGGTTTGAAGTTACCTGTAACTGCCACAATCATCTCACTTCTCTTTTCCCCAAGGTTTTGTTTACTGTTCCTTGTGGGGGAAAGACCAAATTTTGGTGATTTTTGTTAAATCAAACGAAGGCTCAGGTAAATTAAGTAGTTCCGACAAGTAACGGTACCATAGGCAATGGCTGTGATTATTCCTGTTTTGTTTTGGACAGATGGTTGTGCGACGGTCACAGTGCAGCAACCTGGCACGGGACTCTTTCTTCAGCGACATCATTATGCCCACCGATTCCGTTTTCACCCCGCCCGTGGCCCCACCTCCGCCTTACTCCCCACCAGACTACACAGCCATCTCCAACGACCGGGTGCTGATGGAGTCCGGCGAGTTCATGGATGACCTGTCCACGCCCACTCCAGTCATCGGCCCCCAGGACATGCCGCCGCCCTACTCCGTCCTGGACCTGTCACCAGGTGGGACCATCGAGTGCGCTGTGGCGCAGGAGTACCAGGTGGACCCAAACGAGGTAAGTCGTCACCCGTTTCTTGGTCCTAGGCTAGCTGCTAGTGTCATCACTGTGGCCTGGGTTCAAATCCCAGTGTTGGCCATTTGTGAGTAGAACTATAGTTGATTCTCTCCCATACCACAAGGATTTTATTTTCCCACCTCAGGTGCCCTTCCTTTTCAAGAATTTTGACGCTTTCAATCTCGGGCTATTATTTTTGGTCATACTAGTCAAGTGTGGGTCGCATAGCAGCTGCTGAAGCCACCCTCATATGTGTTCAATAGTGTTGTACATGTAGCTTGGTCCTTTCCCTTACGGTTATGTGTGAGGATGATTCCCCCCCCCCCACCCATATCATTATTATAGGCTGTACTTGTACATTTACCATTGTTTAAGGAAGTACCAGTACTTACCGGTCTGTCTTTTAGGGATATTGATGTGAACAGTAATGTTAGTGTTCATATATCTTTGAATTGGATGAAACACTTACTGGTATGTTAGGGATGTACATGTATGTTAGGGTTTTTGTGTATCTATATGACAGACTTACATGTATTTAGAACTTTCAGTGGTTCCAATTGGCTATTACAACGAATCCATTCGCGGTGTGATTAAGCCAACTATTTCCTTTTCTTGGTCAGACATTTTTCCTGAGCATGGATTTTCAGTTCTCATTTAAGCATGCTTGACAGAGCTAATCCATCACAAGTGAATGGAAGATGAATTTAGTTTTTTTTTTAAGTCTCAATGGAAATCTTCTGTATGTAGTGTCACAAAGTTCCCCAAAGCCAATTTGTCAGAAGTCTGTCTGGAGTGGAGGTTATCCCCAGACTGTGTTAATGACTTACAATAGGCTCCACAAAGCCTGCACAGATTGGAAACCAGTGATTTCTAGTCACCAATAGGCTCCACAAAGCCTGCAGCAATTGAAAACCAGTGATTTCGGGTCATTGTGATTATTCCATTTTTCTGGAGCCGGGGCCCATTTTCTCCAGAGTGGGTCGGTCTCTTTGACCATAGTTAACGACACCCAGCACAAAATAAAGAAAGTGCCAGCAAAGAAACGGAATCTAATTTCAGACTTACCGAAACTTTTTAGGGGTTGTAAAATACCAGTATGAAGGCATCCGTCTCCTGGTTGCCTTTTCTTCACCTCTGCCTTTTGTCCGAAATGATTGTGCATACACCCAGAAGTTTCTTTCTCCCGGGACTGTTATTCCATTTACAGGATGATGAGTCCCAGCGGTACATGTGTGCATACATGGGCCACTACAATGGAAAACAGAGTTGTTTGTTAGTCTGCTTCAGAGCACTTACTAAACCCACTTTTGTTGTCAGCCGCAGGGCGGCGTGCGGGCAGCTCAGGTTTTTTGGGGGGAGTTTGCATTGTGGAGGGAGAGGGGAGGAGGGGAAAAAGACAGACCAGAAGGGAAACCGAGCTTGGCTGCTGCCTGGGTAGAAATTAGATCTGGTTGGTCGGGATCAGTGCGGGCCGTGTTATTGCTCGGCCAGCGGTGCATGTGTTGCAGAACGGGGAATCATTTGAGTGCGGCGACAATGTGCATTGTCTGTGCCGGCTGGCGTTTGTGGATGTGGTGGGACTTCGGAGTAGGAGATAACATTGGTTCAGATCAAGGTATAGTAAAGGCGTGCTTCCAGCAGTTACATGTATGAATTTTTCTGGGCATTTTTCTTGTTTCATCTTGTTTGCATCCTGTGTCGAGGCCAGAGCTCTTGTGCTGTAATTGGTTTGCTTTTCTTTTAAATGCTTAGGTACCTATTCTGGACACTTCATAGTAGTTGTAAATGGATAATAATTTATTTCTGTAACTTCAAACAAGCCTACCTTGCCATTGTACATGCAGATGTGCATACCATACACAGTTTGTGGCACAGACTTTATTTAATTTACAGGGACCGTACCGGCAGGTGTGCTATGCTCAATCACCTGCAGCAGTTGGAGATGAGACCGTTATCTTTCTACGTGTTCCTCTCTTGATACCTATAGTCTTTGATAACAACAGTATCAAAGCATTTAAGGGGGAACAGTGCCTCATAGTTTCCGTAATTCCAAGGTGCCGATCTATAATCCTTATTTCTTTGACGAGCTGGCTTCAAGTACCAGTACAATACAGCAATTGCACGGGACTTATTGTTCAAAGTGAAGGGTACTCGCTGTTCATGACTTCTTGGTTGCACAATGAAGTTTCCATCAGTATATCAGCATCTCATCAGCATATTATAAGAGACCGACATGTACATGTACAGGTGTGTATGGCACGGTGCATAACTGCCCTTCTTGGACATATGTGAACACAAAAGCAGTTTTCGAAATACAAATGTTTTGCTAGTTGAATCATGCATGTCATTAACCCTAACCCTCCTCAATCCTTCACCTGTTGGAGGACTGAGGAGTGTTAGGGTTAATTAATAAAACCTATAACATGTTCATGTATGCAGTAGCTCCTGGAGTATACTTTACTATCCCCTTCCCCCACCCACACAAGAACTCCCCCCCTCCCCATGAACTTCTACAGTACATTGGCCCAATGGATCTGAGGATCTTAATCATGGAATGATGGATCAGCCAAAGCAAGTTGAAATGAATGTCCTGAACCTGCTTTATGAGTAAATAAGACGTAACTGACATATACATGTACATGTGTGTACCTCCATCATATCTGTAGTGATACTGTCCATAATGGAAAAATAGACAACATGCGTATTTGCTTGGTCAGAGTGCTACTGTTGATAGCTACATATGGGGTAATACACTCATGCATATATGTACTGGTACATGTACATTTACAGTACATGTGCCTCAGTCATGGTGCACTGCCTCAGTACATTGCATTGATTGATCCCTGAAACCCCCCCCCAGGCACTTACCTGCCAATCAAATCCAGTAAAGTGTGTGTACAAACACCAGTACATGTAAATGGACGTGTGGACATGCATTTTGCTGATAAGGCTGAAGTTGCTTGCAAAACTCTACTCAGTGGTTGGTACATCCAACTCTGTTTGGAGAGGGGGGTCCAAGTAGACCCTGTTTTCCAGGGCAGCAGAATTCGTGCTTTTGGGGATTTCTGTCAGTTTGAACACAGAGAGATGAAAACTCATCCTTGGGTGGAAGGTGGAATCTAAAAAGCGGCCAGTTTTAGAAAAACATCTTCAGGCCTGTTGGATCTGAAGAACTCAGTGGTTGGAATTTGTCTGTTAAGGTTTCGTTGAATGCACGTATTTAAAAAAAAAAATAAAAGCATGCTTTTACATCAAACTCTAGGTCTTTAAAACTGTGGATTCTTTGCACTAGAATATATAATGCCATAGAAAGTGATCCTTGTTCAAAAGCATCAAACTGTTTCCTCTCTGTAGTCCTTATAATTTGCCACTCACATTCATAATGTAGAGGTACATGTACATGTATGTACATTGTATGCGTCATGATGAATTAAAGTGTTGGATGCCTTGAAGTTAATGTCATAGATGCCAAGAAGTGATTTACAGCTCTCTCCTCAGGGAGTGAAATTGAAAATGCAAATAAAGTATTAGGTAAGGGTATTTCAACACCATTTGCATCGATGGGCACATTCCTGACGTGCATAGTGTGCGTCCTGACATTGCACATGCATGAAGTTGGTCGTGCATTCCCTGTATTGTCTGCGGGCAGAGCGTGACTTTGACACTTGCAAACCAGTCTGGATGGGCTCCTTCCACTTTGCTCTCTATGGATTGCCATACAACATTACATGTAATAAGCTATGGTAAATGTTGTTTTGGCAACAATATCGCCAGCTTTTTTCCCCATAGATTATGCCATTGCTGCAGCCCCTCCAAACCTGTTCTGCATTTGCCAATTAGTACATTGGCTGGCTGTAACTGGCATGTGACAAAATGGTTGGCAGCCATGTTAGTCAGGAGTTATATACGTAAATATTGCACACACTAGTAAAAACAGATGGGAGAATAAGGTACTATACGTTTGGACTTAGTACATGTAGTACTGGCGTGGATTTTTCAGCCAAAGTAAAGAAACACAGAAAGTATTGACACTGCGGAACTTGACATTTTTGAGGCCAAAATCAATTTTTTTGTTTTCTTTTGAGGGGGAGGACAAATAATACTGGTATGATAGGTTCAAAATATATGTACAAAGCCAGAACATCACTGAAGTCCATTCAGAAATGGAATTCCTAACTTTCTGGAAATTCACTACACTCTAGCATTAGTCTTCAGTTTCATTGGATTCCTCACATGGCCCATTAGTTGTCAGCTATCACCTCTGTGTTCTGACAAATCCCATAGCCAATTCATCAAAATAGTGGTCTGTTGTACTGTCCAAAAAGCCTGCCTTGAAATTTCTCAGCTACAGTTGTCAGATCATTTGCCACACAATGTCATCAGTATCCCTTTCTGCTCTCAGTCGAAAGGAGTCAAGCCAGAGGTGTACAGTAAAGACGGGAGTGTGATTTGTGGCAAACAATGGAGACCCATTCATCCGATGCCGTTCAGTTTCCCACCGAGCTGCCAAACATGTTATCCCAGGGTCTCAAAGACTTCATTCCGAATTCCCATCGTGGCTGGGGCAAACGCGGAGTTCTCTGCTCAATAACATTGCTGTTTACAATAATATGGGACAGAAGTCCCATGGGAAAAGCTTTGTGGTCAATCTGGGTTTATGGAACATGCATATAAAGCATTTCATTTTGAATTGTTCTCTCCCCAACATTCTACTCATGTCCATTCCACTTTCCAGTTCACATATCATTTGTCCAACATACCGGTAATCTTTTGACACCTCCACAACATATTGATAAACTTGCTGGACAAGGTGCAGCAGACATCAACTCTGCCTTGTGTGTTTTCTTTCTTATTTCCTTCGTCTTGTTACTCCAGACATGATATATATTAAAAAAAACTGTGAACACAGTAAAAATGAGGAAAAAAAATCTCACTATTCTCCAACTTTACTACCACTGCCACATTTAACTGAGGCCCTCATCAATCCACTCACTTCTTGA